CGAGCAGACGGAGGGCGGTCACAGGCGGGGACTGCTGCTGCGGCGACACAACACCAACACCAGGGCCACAAGCTGCGCGACGGCTACCTCCCGAACCCTCCACACCTGCACCCCCAGAAGGGACACCCCCAGAGCCCGAAACCCCGCCAGCACCGGTACCACCCCCAGGCCCGCCGGGACAAGCCACGACAGGAGCCCCGGGACTAGTACCCACCTCAACGCCAGCACCCCCAGAGTCCACAAACGGCGGCAGGGACGACAGCGGCGGCGGCGGCGGCGGCTGCAGCGACGGCTGCAACGGCGGCGGCGGTGGAGACGACGGCTGCAGCAGCTGCGGCGACGGCGGCTGCGGAGGCGGGGGAGGAGGAGACACCGAGGGAGGGACAGACGGCGAGGACTGCGCCGGAGGACTACCAGAGTCAGAAGACTCGTCGACCGGGACGACCGACGGGAGGGGGGTGACGTGAGACACACCAGAGGGGGCCGGACGGGGGGGCGGGGGGGGGGAGGGGCAGGGACCACCGGGGAAGGAGGGACCAGGAACAGGGGGGGAGTAACCGGGGGACCACGGTGAGGGAAGCGGCGGTAGAAGGAGACGGACTCGTCAAAGGTGACGTCGCGAGAGTGAAAGAAGCGGTGGGACGGCGGGTGGTAGAAGTGCCAGTCAGACGCGTCAAGGGGGAAACCGAGGAAGACGCAGGGGAGGGTGCGGGCAGTGAGCTTGTCCGTGCCAGAGGCACGAACGTGGGCAAGGCAGCCCCAGACGTGGAACGCAGACGCGTCACCAGGGGACCCGGTCCACAGAAGGGTCGGCGAAACCTGCGGCCGCTGGGGGTGCGGCCACAGGTTAAGCTGGTGAGCGGCGTAGCGCACGGCGAACGGCCACAGAAAATGGGGTGCACCGGCGTGGATCATGGAGGTGCGAGCCACCTCCATGACCAAACCGATGCGTCGCTCAGCGACCCCATTCTGCTGCGGGGAGTCCGGCAGGGTAAACGTCTGGGTGATGCCCTCCGCACGACAGAAGCGACCAAGGACACCTGAGGCAAACTCGCCACCCCGGTCGGAGTGGAGGCGCAAGGCAGGGAGACCGCGGTGGACACGAGCAGAGACAAGCCAGGGGATGAGAACGTCAGGCACGTCGGCCTTCCGCTCCAGGGGGAAGACGGTGGTGTAGCGCGTGAAGTCGTCGACAAGCACTAGGAAGAAGCGCTCGCGACGCGGCCCATGGACCGGGGCTGGGCCCCAGACGTCCATGTGCAGAGTCTGCAGTGGTGCGGTGGTAGGGGGAAAAGAGGAGGAGTGAGGGGCACGGCGGAGCCGGCCCTCGACACAAGGCGTGCACGGTGGGGCGGGGTAGGAGGGAAAGTCGGGGAACGAACCGGGGAGACAAAGGACGAGACCGTGCTGGGACATGTGACGCAGACGTGGGAGTGCAGGGTGACCAAGGCGGTGGTGCCAAAGGAGAGTCGGGTGAGTGAGGGACCGACAGGAGCACGCGGCAGCAACCTGGGTGGACGCAGCTACCGGGGGGGAAGACCCAGCCGGGGACGTCGCGGTGTCAAGTGTGAACAGGCCGGACACCGGGTCCCGGGGGAAAGTGGTAAGGGGGGCACCAGTGGCGGCCTCGGTACAGACAGCATACCGCTCGTGACCAGGGAACGTAGTGGTGACGCCAAGGTCCTGGAGGCAACCGACACCAACTAGGTTCCTGGAGAACGAGGGGATATGCAGACCGGTGAGCGAACCTGAAGGAACCGCCGGACAGGGAAGGGAGGTGGAACTGCGGGCAACGACGGGACCACCGGAGGGGTCAGCAAGAGTAACGGCAGCGGGAACAGGCAGCGGCGTCAGCGTCGTGGAGTCGCGGAAGAAACACCGGGAGGCGCCAGAGTCCAAGGTGAAGGAAAGCGCAGCAGTCGCGTGAGGCGGCAGTGAAGCGGTGGAAGCACCAAGGCTAAGCAAAGCAGGAGATCCTACGCCTGACGCAGCAGGGGAGTCTACGCTAGGCACCGCTACACTAGGCAACACGGGGTAATAAGAGGGAAGCACACTAGAGTCATCAGCATACATCACATGCAAGGCTGCTACAATGGCATCCATGTCCAAGTCAAAAATCCTAATGCTACGCCTAAGCAAGCTGTGCCAGTCTGGGAGGTCGGGCGCCGGGCCAAAGCGCTGGCGGAACAGGTCGTCCAGACGACGAAAACAGCGAGGAGTAGAATGACCGATCTTACCGCAAACGAAGCCGCGGCGAGGACCGGTCTGGATCTGGTACTGACAGGGCCCGCCTCCAGAACCACCACCCGGTGCACCACCACGCGCACGACCACCACCAGCTCCAGGCCACCCAGGCGGGAGAGCACTCGCCGGCCTCGTCTGCGGCGGCTGCTGCGGCTGCTGCGAAGGCTGCGGCTGCGGCGACTGCTGCTGCTGCTGCTGCTGCTGCAACGGTGGAGGCAGCGGGGCAGCTGGACCGGGCAGGGTCCCCACGGCCGCACCGGCACCGGACGACCCGCCTCCACCACTACCCCCACCCGCACCCCCGCCGCCTCCGCCGCCCCCAACCTTGGGGCGGCGGCCCTTCGCCGAGCGGGACTGCACTGCAGCAGCAGTCTCAGCCACAGCGACAGAGCCGTCGGAGAAGGTACACTGAGCGGGGGCACAACCCTGAAAGATAGGGACCGGTACTGTACCGCTCGCCTGGGCTATGGAGCGGTGACGAGTCTCTATGGCAGTCAGGGTGTCAACAAAGTCGGTGAGGGTGAGAGCAGCAGGATGGATGCTAAGGAACTGGTCGCGGGCGGCGGCAAGGCGGTCAGGGAGGCGGGTGGCAAGGAGGTAGAGGGTGGAGGTCATGGGAGGCTGGTGGACTCTAAGCTGTGCATCAGTGCAGGCAGCGCGCCAGGCCTCATCTATCGAGCGCAGGTGGGCAGCGAGGTCAGAGACAGTGGGGAAAGACGCCAGGTCAGGAAAGAGCAGGGGGAGGATCAGGCGACCCACTGAGGCAGCAGGAGGGGTAGAATAGCGCTTGATGACAGCATCAAGGTAGGCCTGGGCGGTAGTAATGGTTCTAAAGCGAGGGCGCTCAGGGGGGGGGAGGGCATTGCTAATGGCGAGCTGAGCAAGGGCATCGCGGGAAAGCCAGACAGAGCGGGCAAGGGCAGCAGCGGCAGTGGACTCGCGCTCAGCGGGCGTGGGATCAGCGGGCAGCACAGCAGGGGGGTCAGGGCAGGGGAGCATACCGTCTAGGTGTGCAGAAAGCGGGTGGCCGTCCTGCCGCTGGCCAGTGAGGTGGCGGCGAAGGTCAGCCAACCACGCCTCGAACTCCAGAGGCTGACCCTCAGCATCAAAACGAAGCTCAGCAGCCATGAGGGGCAGTGGAGGACAGTGCAGTGCAATGCAGTGCGGTGCAGTGCAATGCAGTGCGGTGCAGTACGGTCCAGTGCGGTGCAGTGCGGGCGGTGCGGTCCAGTGAGGTGCAATGCGGTGCAAGGCGGGGCAGGAAAGTGAAGGAGGGTGCAAAGTGGTGCGGGGAACGGGGGACAGTACCAGGAAGTATGGAGGGCCGGGGCAGGCGCGTCAGGGCCGGGCAGGCACGACAAGGCCGGGCGGCGGCGACGGGGCCGGGCGACTGCGACGGGGCCGGGCGGCGGCGACGGGGCCGGGCGGCAGCGACAAGGCCGGGCGGCTGCGACGTGGCCGGGCGGCTGCGACGGGGCCGGGCGGCTGCGACGGGGCCGGGCGGCAGAGACGGGGCCGGGCAGGACACAGCAGGGCCGGGCAGGGGCGACGGGGCCGGGCGGCTGCGACGGGGCCGGGCGGCTGCGACAAGGTCGGGCGGCAGGGGCGGGGCCCGGGCAGGACACAGCAGGGCCGGGCAGGGGCGACGGGGCCGGGCGGGCGAGCAGGGGCCGGGCAGGGCGACAGGGGCCGGGCAGCCGCGACAGGGGCCGTGCGGGCGCCACGTGGCCGAGAGGCCGCGACGGGGCCGAGCAGGGGCGACGGGGCCCAGGAGGGGCTCGACGGGGCCCAGGAGGGTCGCTATGGGCCCAGGAGGGGCGCTAGGGCCCAGGAGGGGCGCGACGAGCCCAGGAGGGGCGCTACGGGCCCTGGGAGGGGCGCGAGGGGGGGGCCTGGGAGGGGCGCGACGGGGCTTGGGAGGGGCGCGACGGGGCTGGGGAGGGGCGCGACTGGGCCTGGAGGGGCGCTACCAAGCCCAGGTAGGGGCGCGACGGGGCCTGGGGGGAGCGCAATGGGGCCCAGGAGGGGCGCTACCAGGGCCTGGGAGGAGCGCGACTGGGCTAGGGAGGGGCGCGACGGGGCCTGGGAGGAGCGCAATGGGGCCCAGGAGGGGCGCTACGGGGCCTGGGAGGAGGGCGACGGGGCCCTGGAGGGGCGCTACCAGGCCCTGGAAGGGGCGCGACGGGGCCTGGAGGGGCGCTACGAAGCCCTGGAAGAGGCGTGACGGGGCCTGGAGGGGCGCTACGAAGCCCGGGAAGGGGCGCGACGGGGCCTGGGAGGAGCGCAATGGGGCCCAAGAGGGGCGCTACGAGGCCTGGGAGGAGCGTGACGGGGCCCTGGAGGGGCGCTACGGGGCCCAGAAAGGGGCGCAACGGGGCCCAGGAAGGGGCGCGACGGGGCTAGGGAGGGTCGCGACGGGGCGAGGGAGGGTCGCGACGGGGCTAGGAGCACGACGGGGCCCAGCTAGGGGGCGAGCGGAAGCGTGAGGGGGGGGATCCTACCTACGCGTGATACCATATCAAACAGTGAAATTAATGAATTGAGAGAGAGAGAGTACACAAACATATACCTAACAGTTGTACTCTCTAGAAGATGACCCTATACAGTCTATACAAGCATGATAACTAAACATGTTTGACAGCTGTGACCGTCACGGATTGGCCACAAATCCTATAGCCCATGCCGAGTTCGACACGTTGGCATGGCCATCCTCTCATCCAAAAAGCACAAAACTCCCTAACAGAAACCCAATGCATGTATAAGCCTAGAAACAATCAGATTCAAAATGAATTATACATAACACATGGGCGTTATATTTTTCCAGCCCACTGTTAACACCCAGTCATTTTTTTAATGAATTATTATATCCACCATAGGGTGTTATATCCGGGGGATTACGGTAATAGCTGGTCAGTGCACCCATAGCCCCCCAGGCTCTGCACCTATGGCCCTTCCCCGAGGATCTTCTCAAGCATAACCCCAGCGGGTCTCTCGACAGAGTACAGACATCTAATTTAGCTTGATAATGCCCCAAAATTGTCTCGGCTGCACAGCTTCTTATTCTGCCATAAAAACAGCATGATGGCGGGGTTAGTAAAATTCTTAAACAGACTACCTCCTTGCAAGTGAGAAATGAGACCCCTCGAGGGCCACACAATAAGCATGGTGGCCCGAATAAACCCAACAAAGAATAGCAGAGGAACTTTACCGGTGGCGAGTCGACACGGGGCTGGGAAGCAACGTTATCTAATGCTGGCACTCCCTTTCTCCTGGCCCGAGTTCTTGTCTTGAGTTGTTGCTGCAAGTGCTCCACCTAGGTTGGCCGTTACACCGCAAAAGAGGGGTTGGACAATCATTATACACAATCATTGAACACGGGGCAGTGTAGTAATGGAAGTATACTGTACGTCCTACGATGCGAGATGTGAGAGAGCCCCAATCAAGTAAACTAAAAGAATGCAGAATGTCTGTAAAAAACGCACGTTCAAAGTACATGACATTTAGGCCAACGCAAGGTTGTTCCATCACATTGTCAGTAATAATGTCACCTGCTAGGCGTATCATCACCAGATATGCTTGCCAGGTGAGCCACCTGGAGTGGTGCATTACGTGGTTAGGAGTCTTACCTGGTGAGGAGCATTACCTGGTGAGGTGTATTACCTGGTGAGGTGCATTACCTGGTCAGGCGATTTACCTGGTCAGGTGTTGGGTTGATGGGAGTGACATCTGAGCTTCCACCATACTCCTTCCCACACACAGGGCATTGACTCTCCTTCAACTGACATGCGGGATGGGGATGGGGAGGAAGCTAGTTTGGGAGTGGGAAGAGGGGGCAGATCTTCTGATATGTTCATGAGCGAGCAGCACCACCTCACCTGCCAGCCCCACCTGCCAGCCCCACCTGTGCCAGAGCTCGTGTGGTGAAGGCATGTCCACAGGGGCGGAGGAGAGAGAAGCTGTGGTCAGGGAGGGGGATGGGAGGGAGGGAAATGGCGGGTGGAAAGGAATGGAGAAGAAGCAGTGGCACGCGCAGAGGCAGGCGCAGTGGGCGTAGCAGTGGCACGCGCAGAGCCCCAGATAGAGGCGATAACATCAGGCCATTGAAATACGAGTGAGAGTGGCGGTAACAGCCCCACACTCCCCACTCTCGGCTGGCCACAGCTGGCATAAGCCGTGAAAGTGCGCAGTAGGTACGTCCCCTTGGGAGGCAAGATTGATGTGCATGCAAGAAAGCCACCCCACCCCACCCCACCCCACCCCACCTGACTCACGGCTGACCAGAGCTGGCAGAAGACCCGGAGAGGGGGCACACCCAGTGAGACGCGTCCCTGCTGCTGCCACTGCCACCGCCACTGGCAGCAGCATGGGCACCGCCAGTAGAGCTGCTGCACAGGCCACTGCCTGTGGCAGTGCGAGCAGAAGCCAAGCCCGAAGTGAGCTCTGGACTCGGTTGACTGGGGGCGGCAGCAGCAGCAGCAGCAGTATTGGCCTCGTTGCTCTTATCGCTGTCACTCCTGCCGTTCCCAGTGGTGCACTCAGCACGGCTGCTCTGGGATGGCTGGCTGTCGGTATGGAAACGCACTGTTACAACGTCCTGAGAGGAAGTGTCAGTGGGAGGGGAGGAGGGGACAGGAGGAGAGGAGAGAAGGGGAAGGAGAAGGGAGGTGAGACGCAAAGGAGAGGTGCACGGAGACTGAACTGGGGGAGAGTGGGAGAGGGGTAAGGGAAGAGCCATGGTGGTCTTGTCTCTATCCTTCCCAACAGTCCCATGAGTGCAGTGCAGTGCAGTGCAATCCACACTTCCCTAGAACCGGGCTGTGTGGCCATCGCAGCGGGTCGGAGTGAGCTGACACAGCGCAAGTGTGTGGGGTGAGGTGGTGCTATGGTGGCATGGTGCTATGGTGCCATGGTGCCATGATGCCATGGTGCCATGGTGCCATGTGCCATTATGCCATGGTGCCGTGGTGCCATGGTGCCATGTGCCATGATGCCATGTGCCATGTGCCATGATGCCATGGTGCCATGGTGCCATGTGCCATGATGCCATGGTGCCATGGTGCCATGTGCCATGATGCCATGGTGCCATGTGCCATGATGCCATGGTGCCATGGTGCCATGTGCCATTATGCCATGGTGCCGTGGTGCCATGGTGCCATGTGCCATGATGCCATGGTGCCATGTGCCATGATGCCATGGTGCCATGGTGCCATGTGCCATGATGCCATGGTGCCGTGGTGCCATGTGCCATGATGCCATGGTGCCATGTGCCATGATGCCATGGTGCCATGGTGCCATGTGCCATGATGCCATGGTGCCATGTGCCCGTACAGACTTTCATCCCACCTTCTTGGATCGGATGTGAGCGAAGAGGTGCAGATGGTCCTGCAGCCTTGAAAAGCGCCACTGGGGGAAGCAACAAGCAGAACAGGGGTAGGGACGGGGAAGGTCACAAGGGCAGGGAGCAGGGATAGGGATGGGGAAGGAAAAACGAGAGGGCGAAAAGGTGCGTTTTGTTTTTGCAGGTATTCCTGGAGCCTTCAGAAGCGCCACTGGGGGAAAAAAACGGGAACGGGGATAGGGAAGGCGGAGGCCACAAGGGCAGGGAGCAGGGATATCACTGGGAAAGGTAAAACGAGAGGGCGAAGAGGTGGAGATGGTGCTGGAGCCTTGAGACGCGGCACTGGGGGATACGGAAACAGGAATGGCATGCGGATGGGGGTGGGGATGGGGATCGGGATGCGGGTGGGAAGCAGAATGCAGCAGCACACCGCACTGGGAAAACCGCACAGGAGAGACGCAAGTCAACCCACACGCAAGACCGCCCAATCAAGCGTGCCAAGCTGCCAAGCGTGCCAAGCTGCCAAGCGTGCCGAGCTGCCAAGCGTGCCAAGCTGCCAAGCGCTCGTCTCGCTAGAGGGCGCCCGTCCCATTGAAGCGCGCCCACCACTGGGGTGTTTTCGTTCTACTAGGGCGCGCCCACCACTGGGGTGCACCTGTCCCACTAGGGCACGCCCGTAGCACTAGGGCGCGCCTGTCGCACTAGGGCGTGCCCACCTCACTAGAGCGCGCCCTTCTTCTCACTTGAGCGTGCCCTTCTCACTAGAGCACGCCGTTCTCACCAGAGCGCGCTGTTCTCACTAGAGCACGCCTGTCTCCCTTAGGCACCCACGCGCAAGACTGCCCACGCTCAAGAGCACAGGCAAGAGCGCCCATACTCAAGAGCGCCCATACTCAAGAGCGGCCACATTACTGCGTCGCACCATCGAGCAGAGAAGCACATTGCACGCATGGTGTGGCCCTGCACAGCAGAGCGGCAAACTGTGGGGCACCGCACAGCAGAGCAGCACACTGTGTGGTACCTCACAGCAGAGCAGCACACTGTGCCGCACCGCACAGCAGAGCAACCCACTGCGCCGCGCCGCGCCGCACAGCGAAGCAGCACACTGTGTGGCACCACAGAGCAGAGCAGCACACTGTGTGGCACCACAGAGCAGAGCAGCACACTGGCACCACAGAGCAGAGCAGCACACTGTGTGGCACCACAGAGCAGAGCAGCACACTGTGTGGCACCGCACAGCAGAGCAGCACACTGTGTGGCACCACAGAGCAGAGCAGCACACTGTGTGGCACCGCAGAGCAGAGCAGCACACTGTGTGGCACCGCACAGCAGAGCAGTATCCGGTGCTTACCTTGTCACTCTCCTCTGCAACGACCCCAGCTCGCCACAGCAGCAGCTGTAGCACGCTCTCGCGGTTGTAGCTGTTGGAAGGGGCCGGAGGAGGGACAAGGGAAGACGACAAAAGAGGAGGAACAACTTGTAGCTACAACAGTAGCTGTAGCACGCTCTCTTGGGTTGTAGCTCAATGGGAGAGACACATGAAACCAGGAAGGCACAAAGGTTTTGAGACATCTCAAAAGGTACGGAGGTTCTGAGACCTCTCAGAGATACAGAGCTTTGAGACGTCTCAAAACCTCTAACTTTTCACCCTGCCAACACCCCACTCCCATCCCTTCCACACTGTCCCTCCCTCCTCCCCTGCGCCGCCTTCCCTTCTCCCTCTCCCATCATCTTCCCCACTAGTCTCCTCTCCCCTCTCCTCTCCCCTCTCCTCTCCCCTCTCCTCTCCCCTCTCCTCTCCCCTCTCCTCTCCCCTCTCCTCTCCCCTCTCCTCTCCCCTCTCCTCTCCCCTCTCCCCTCTCCTCTCCCCTCTCCTCTCCCCTCTCCTCTCCCCTCTCCTCTCCCCTCTCCTCTCCCCTCTCCTCTCCCCTCTCCTCTCCCCTCTCCTCTCCCCTCTCCTCTCCCGTCTCCTCTCCCCCCCTCTCCCCCCTCCCTCCCCACCCCTCCCCTCCCTCACAGTCGTCCTAGCTGGCATGCCACGATTGGCTCTCTCAGCGCCTCCCCCGTCAGCGCGCACGCGCTCCACGCGGCCTCGCGCTGCTCGCGCGCGCCCACGCGCTCCTCCCCGCCCAGCAGGTCGCCCGCGGAGAGCTGCCCCCCCCGCGTGGACCGCGCGGAGTCCCTGCGTAGCGGCGGCGCGGAGCGATACAAGTAGAGGAGGGGTGGGTGGGGGGGGGAGGACGGGAGTAGAGTCCAGGAGGGGGCATGAGGAGCGAGAGAGCGGCGCCGGAGCGAGAAGGAGGCACGGCGGCCTAAGGGAAAAGATCCGGTACCAAGGGTAACATCATGGGGTCGCGGGGGTGCGCAACGGTACGATTGGGTAAGGGTGTGATTGGAGTCGTGTTCTAGAATTCTCATAAGTGAGCAACGGCGAATTAAGTAGCGCGTGGTGCGGAAGGTTGCCGTGGACCGACCTGGAGGCGAGGCGCCACGATGCTCCGCGGATGACGTCGGTGCGCGAGATGATGGTTCCGCCGTCCAGACCCATGGCGGGAGGCTAAGGCTAGGTTAGCGTAAGTCTGGGTCAGGGTACGCTGCGCCTTAAAATGCCGCGTCCTACTACGCGGTGCGATAAGAGGGGATTTGCGACGCGGGAGCTTGCCTTCACTCTAGAACAACACGAGCTTACTGCAAAGCTTTTAGAAAAATTATGCTACTAGTAGTTCTGTGATACGTAGTGAAGCGTCTTTCTGAAGATAGGCCGCTTCGTCTTTGAGGTCGAATGCGATACTCCTTGTGCACCGTTCTCGCTAAATGTAACGAAGAATTGTGTTTTAGGAAACATCAATTTAATGAAGCAAGCACATGCAAAGAGCATCATCAACTAATGATTGGCTTTTCTTTCATCGCCTTGGCCAAACTACAAGTCTACAAACCACAAGCACTCGCTGTCAAGCTTTCTTCCCAGGTGCATTGGAAGATGGCGCAGATCGATCAGCTCCAGGCCCTGACCCCTTCATCATTCTCCTCTCCATCACCACCAACCGACGCCACTCGCTTGCCTTCACCTGTGAACACACGAGGAAAGGAGATTGACCAATATTGTTTTTCGTTGGCTTATGAGCGCAATTCCAAAGGTGGGAGCGGGGAAGGCAGAACCACCCAACATCACGTAAACCACTAAATGCTCTAGGATCACTATACCCTTCCTTCAGCTCAAGTGATGGGGTAGGTACCAGCTGATAGAAACATGAGAAGTTACCGTACGAGGTACAAGAAGTTATCTGGATTGCCGCAGAATAATACATTCCGAGGTACGTGTGTGAAAAGTGTGTGTTTGAGTGTGGATGTTAAGATGTATGTTGGAGCAGGGGTGCAACGGGGCAGAAGGGAGGGAGGGATGTGGTGGCACTAGTGGGAGTACCGTGGGGAAGCCAGCATAGTCCCCGGGCTCCTTGATGTCAGCCGCCACGCCTGACTTGGCTGCCACCCGCACCTGAGGGGCAGAGGGGCAGAGGGGCAGAGGGGCAGAGGGGCAGAGGGGCAGAGGGGCAGAGGGGCAACGACGCAAGCAATGACACGCAAGAGAAGGTAGCAATCCCCTATGGTGAGAGGGTTAGGTAGCAATCCCCTATGGTGAGAGGGGTAGGTAGCAATCCCCTATGGTGAGAGGGGTAGGTAGCAATCCCCTATGGTGAGAGGGGTAGGTAGCAATCCCCTATGGTGAGAGGGGTAGGTAGCAATCCCCTATGGTGAGAGGGGTAGGTGGCAATCCCCTATGGTGGCGCGGCAACAGTGAGAGGGGTACCTTGTCCGCAATGGTGACGTGATCCGCCACCCCCACCTGCCCTGCCAGCACCACGTAGTCGCCAAGCCTGCAGCCGTGCACGCGAATCCATGCACGCGAATCCATGCACGCGAATCCATGCACGCGAATCCATGCACGCGAATCCATGCACGCGAATCCATGCAGGCAAGGCATTCACGGCAAGAGGACGGCATGAATGGATGCAGGAGCATGTCACAGGTGCGCGCATGCGTCCTGAATGAGAAAGAACAGAATGCAGTGCGTGCAGAACCGGAACAACAAGCACGGGGTCTTCCCTCCTGCCTCCCCAAGTCTTCTGGCCTTGACAAGGCAGGCAAAGTGTGGAAAAGAATGGCTGCTTCAGCTCGGAATGACAACACAGCTTACGTGGACGAGCCGCCAACGCCGGTTTGCCCGCAGAGAATACAGCAGCGCCCGATGACCACATTATGGCCGATCTGGTGGGGGAGAGGGGGAGAGGGAGGCAGGGAGGGAAGGAAGAGAGTGTGGGAGTGGTGGCAGCGGGTGCGGGGTGCAGCAGCGACTGAGTTACCCCACTATGGCCGACCTGGTGTTATGTGGGAGGAGGGGGGAAAGAGGGGGGGGAGGGGGAGAACACACCTGCACATGAGACAAACTTGCACATGAGACACACCTGCACATGAGAACACACATGCACACCTGCTTGAGACGAGATCACACCTGCACGAGGTTGTCGATCTTGACGAAGTCACCAATCTGCGTGTCCCTCCAACTGGCAGCGGCAGGGAAGGAGGAGAGAGAGCATTTGGGAGCAGAAGAGAGCAGAGAGGAGCAGAAGAGAGCAGAAGAGAGAAGATAGGAGCAGAAGAGAGCAGAGAGGAGCAACAACTTCGGTTCGGGGAACGTATGTAATGCATGAGGATGGATGTGAAGCATGGGGATGCACATGGAGCATGGGGATGCACATGGAGCATGGGGATGCACATGGAGCATGGGGTGAACGGAGACAGTAATAGCAAGCCGCTTGCTCACCTCCCCCTGTCAACGCATGTGTTGGCCCCAATCTCCACATCGCTGCCTATCTGCACTCCCAGCGTCTGCCCTCCAAACCCAAACACACTACGCATGCACAGTGGCAGGCAGGCAAGCAGCGCTCACCTCCCCCTGTCGATGCATGTGTTGGCCCCAATCTCCACATCGCTGCCTATCTGCACTCCCAGGGTCTGCCCAACACACGGCCATCAAGGCACACACACAGAAAAACAGGCACACAGGCACACAGACACGCAAGAGCGCAAGAGCACAGGCATAAAGACACACAGAAGAGCGGACCAGCACTGGCGTGGAGGCTCGATGGCGCGAAAGCATACGGGAGAAGGCCAGCAGGCGGGGGGACATGGGAGAGGGGAAGGCAGGGGGCACGGACAAGACGAGGAGTGTGCAGAGCAAAGGGAGACACGGCAGGGGAGAATCTGTGGTGGGTGGACTGGAAATAAAGACTGAAAATCACCCAGGAGAGAGGAAGGGTGGAGACAGAGGGGGTGGTGAGGTGAGGGGGAATGGGGGGGATGTTAAGGGGGCGGCGACAAAGAACAGAATGCGTTTCAGAGGGCACGGAAGTAATGGGGCTCACTTGAGGTTTCTTGACCATCTTGCCCGCTTCATCCACGAAAAATCCGAACCCTGCTCACAGGAGGTTCGGGAGCATTACACGGGACGAGGTGACTTTTGAGTCGACTCAAAAGTCACTTCGGGAGCATTACACGGGACGGGACGTTCAAGAGTATAGTTCTGAGGCGCCTCAAAACTAGACCCGTCTCATCCACGAAGAACCCAAACCCTGCACATGGGAGGTTCGGGAGCATAACGACAAGCTGAAGGTTCTGCTGTTGCTACTGCTGCCACACGATTGGACGGGAGGAGCTAGAATGTCGGGAGGGTGTGCCGGCAGGTGCCTTGAAAACATGCCCGCCATTCCGCCCACGTCCTTGCCCTCCCTTCCCCACACCCCCCTCCACCCTCGGCCTCACCGCCCTTCCCTAAGGGTGAACTCTGAGAAGCCTAAAGAAACACTCACCGTCCTGCCCTCTCTGCCCCCAAGCCTCACCGTCCTGCCCTATCTGCACGCCGTTGTGGAACAGGCAGCGGTCTCCAACCGTGCAATTCGAGAGCGACACGTTGTACCTTTGGTGTGGGAGGGGGGGGGGAGGCAGTGAGGAGGAAACAATGGAGGAGAGGAGGCAATGGGGACGGAAGGAACGCAAGGGGGAGCGGGGGAAGGAAGGCAGGTACAGGTTTGATGAAATTCGTTGAATGCACGTGATGCCATGCAACCCATGGTTGAGGGGATGATGGGCTAGCGATGGTACACTGCAATGCCATGTATCAGGAAAGGCGGACACGAAGGGAGAGACGGGAGGAGGTCAAGAGTTGAGAGGGAAATAGGGGAGCCCGGTGAGGAAAGACAGATAAAATACCAGGGATGTTTTGAGTCGACTCAAAAGACAGAAAAAAATACCACAGGTCCGTGCAGAAGCATTGGGAAGAAAAAGGTTAAACAGAAGTAGAAATGTTAGCAAATGCTGCAGTCCCTGCAGTCGCTACAGCTCACCAGATGGTAGTCTCCTCGCCAATCTTCACGTAAGGGCCCACCACCGATCCTGATCCGATCCTCGTCTTCGCGCCAATCCGAGCCTCGGAATGAACCACTGCGGACGGCTCGACCACTGCTGAGCTGTCAACCACCGCCTCCACGTGGACCAATCCGCCACCGTTCTCCCAAACCCTGAAGTTATCCGGCCACGAGCCGTCCGCGCTAAAGGAGGCTTCGTTAGGAACGCGAGAGAAGGAATACGGGTACCCTGGTTGGCTGGCTTCGCTATAAGCAGCCGCGGGTGAGAAACGTCGAGGCTGCGAGTGTTTCTGACGTGACTGTAACGAATGGACCGGGAGAATGAAGGACTGGGAAGGCGGTAGTTGCGATAGTTGCCCAACCAGGGCGAATGTAAGAGGGCCTCTAGTCGCAGATACCATGCTTTTGGTGTCGCATGTCGCAGGCGACGATCTTAGCTCCGCGAATCTGGGAGACAACGACGCGGAACAGCTCAGTAGCGAGGATGAGGATGAAGAAGCCACAGCAAGAGAGGAAAGCGATGCCATTATGGCCGAGCTCTCGAGAAGAGAAGGCGACACGAGCGGGCTACTAAATCGTGCTAAGGCGTGTTGAGAGTTAGAGAAGCGAGGCCATGGCGTCAAAGGGATCTGGGGATTCGCATGGTGGCCTAGAAAGAATGCGGAGAGACGGCGAGAGCGCTGAAGAGCGTTCATGCACGGGAGAGCCGCACGACTAAGGACGGCCTAAGCCTAGGTCGCGATCAGACCACTGAGAATCCGCTGCGTCAGGAACCTGATGGCCGTTAGAACCTAGAGGATTGCGGTACCCGGCGATTTGACATGCCCTAGGTTAGGTTATATGGTGCAATGTCCGTTATTTGAATAACAGGTTGGCTGGTGCGCTAATACCTCCATGTACTCACAAACATTATTCTATTCGATATCTAATTCGTGCCCAATAAAATGTATCGTTATAGCCTGAATGATGCCCATAATACTGATTAATTTCGGTCCTACATTTTGCAATGAAACATACACATTTTTAGATCTTTGATACTTCTTACATGAACTTGCATCATTACCTAATAAAAAATATAATAGTCCAGTTTCATCTTGAACCGGAGCCCCAAAAACGAGTCACCAGTAAGCAATCCTTAGGGCGGGTCCCAATAGTTCACGTTCTATTCATTTCGCGAAAAGTAACCCGATTTTAACAAGCGAAAACTTGTTTAAGGTTTCGCCAGGACACGTCTGAAATATTGACGTAACCTGGGACACCTTTCCCATGCGTCGGGCCATGTACCAATTTCGGATTGCAAACGTAAAAAACACGGAAGGTGCAAGATTCGGGGACGAGGTTCCAAGTGTGTCGCGCCTGGATACCGCCTCGCTGGCGATGGCGAAAACCGGGCGACGTCGCGAATACATCTGCGCGCGCAACGCCATACCGCATCCGCAACCGAACGCGCCACTAGTTGGACCACTCTGCGCCGACAGAATGGGGTGAGTTTCTGGTTTCCCCACCCGCCCAAGAAGCCCCAGAAAACAAGAGGCCCCGCCGAGAAGTCCGTCGAGAAGGCGTGAAAAAAAAAAAAAAAAAAAAAACAAAAAAAAAAAAAAACAAAAACAAAAAAAAAAAAAAACAAGATTCCCCCGCTTGTTGATTGGCCCCCCTGGCTCGCCGCTGCCAATGTTTGCAAAAGCGGGGTGGGTTTCCCCGCCAGCTGTCTTTTGCGCGGTGTGCGAAACTTATTTTTCGCGCAGGCTTACATTTGGTAACTGCGTTTGGGGCTGTTGCGCGCAGCTCGGTTTTTTCACATGTGGACAATTGGCGTCCCGCCTGTGCGCCACGTGCGCACAGGGACAAAATTACAAAGATTTACGGAAACGGAATCGTTTCAGGGATTTGTACCGGGATTCGTAAAATCGTGTCCCGTACCGTGAAATGAACAATTGGGACCCGCCCTCACTCCCATTTTCTTTAGACTAGAACAACCGAAACAGCGCGAGATGCTTCACTCCTTCCTCCCTTTCCCCCTCTCCTCCCCTCGTTCCACGCTGCCGTCGCGCGTTGCGACGACGTGATCGCTGTCGCGCTCTGAGTCGACCCACCCAACCTTAATCTCTCGAGTTCGCTAGTAGCTTCCGAACCCTGTTCCGTTAAAGCCGCATCCGTAGCAGCGTCGATGTCGGGCAGCTCCGCCCCTTCCGCGATCCCCGCTGCCCTCGCGACTCGCGACGAGGTGATTGCCAGCGTGGCAGCGGCTGTGGGGAGGCGCGCTGCTGACGTGTGGGAGGGCGGGAAGCTATCCGACGTGGCGTTTAACGGCGGCGCGTGGGAGGGGGGTACAGCGAAATGCTTAGGTAACGCGAGCGGGTGTAGCCGCGTGCCTTTCCCCGCGTCTGTGCCCTGAACGAGCCGTTGACTCAATGGCGCACCGCTCCCTTCTCTGCCGCCGTCCCGCATTAGTGCCTTGATCGCCTGAATGGCGCATCAATTTCCGCCTCGGTCCCCTGCAGCCTGCGAGAGGCCCGGATGCATCCCTCCTTTAACGTGTGCCGCGCGCTTTCCCCCCTTTATTCCTTGCCTTATTGTCACAGGGTCCAATCCAGGGGAGGCATACACCGTTGGCTTCGATATACTCACAGGCGCAGCAGCAGCAGCAGGAACAGCAGCAGGAGCAACTAGCAGCCGAGCAAGGGCGGGAGGTAGAGGGCGAGGGAGAGGAGGAGGGGGTGGAGGGCCACGGGTGAAGGTGGAAGGGAAGTGCACGTGTCCAGCACACGCCCGGTGAGACGACCGGGCATCTTGCTGTGCTCTCTCCATTCTCCATGTGCAGGTCCATGCCTCTCCATTCTCCATGTGCAGGTCCATGCCTCTCCATTCTCCATGTGCAGGTCCATGCCTCAGAGTGCTCATGTATTCTCACCAGTGCGTACTCCTCTCTCACATCATGCATCCACGACTGCTCTCCCCCCACCCTTTCCGCCCCCCCCCCCCCCACGCACCCACCACCACCTGCTGCTGCGTGTCAGGTCGTCCAACGGGGTGTGCAAGCACGTGGCGGCTCTTCTGCTCGAGCGCGCCGCTCAGGTGGGCGCGCCGCTCAGGTGGGCGCGCCGCTCAGGTGGGCGCGCGAGAAGCGTTGAAGGCAGGCACGCCTGCACAGCCCGACAGCCCCCCTGCATGTGCCATGCCATGCCATGCCATGTAGACACGTCTGCCTTCTCACAGCACCATTGTGCCCAGGAAAATCGCTTCCTACGATGTGATCTCCCTCCCTCCGTTGTCGTCCCTCTCCTCTGTGCTGCCTCTCCTCACCCTCACGCCGTCCCAATCTGCCCTGTTGCCCTCTCCCAGCTTTCCTCCAGGGCTCCCCTTCCAAGCGCAAGGCCACCGCCCACTGCAGGTGGCACGCCACCCCGTGCTGCCGACACATCAGCGCCTGGGCGTGACACGTCAGCAAATGCTCCTGCTACCCCTCCTAGGCCTGTGGTTACTGCTGCTGGCTCGGGTTCAATCAGGGCTATGTCGTCCGAGCCTCAGGCAGGCTCGGTATCTGCTGAGCAGCGTTCTTCCAAACCTGTAGATGGGTTGTCCAAGCCTGTAGGGTTGGGGGAGGATGGAGCGGACGAAAGGGAAAGAGGAACGGGAGAGGGGAATGGGAGAATAGAGGAGGAAGAAAGGAAGGGAGGGGAAGAGGCTGGGAGGAATAGAGAAGGGGAGGGCATGGGGAAAGGGATGGGTTTAGTGCGGTGTGGAGGGAGGGGGGGAGGTGCAGCAGGGAAGCGAGGGAGGGTTCTGCCTGCCTGGATGCTTGAGGTGAGGGATGGGGCGAAGAGGGACGAAGGGCGGGAGACGGGAAGGGGGAAGGGGGAGAAAGCGATTGGCGGTATGCAGAGAGCAGAGGGGGAGAAGCAAGCTGGTGGGGAGAGGGGGACGAGAGGAAGAGGGAAGAGAGTTGGGGGAAAGACAGGAGGTGCTGTGAAGAGAGTAAGGAGGGTGAGAAGGAGAGTAATGGGGTTTAAATTTGAAGATGACCATGATGGGGAGGAGGAGGAGGGGGAGGAGGAGGAGGAGGAGGAGGAGGAGGGGGAGGAGGGGGGAGGAGAGGGAGGAGAGGTGGTAGAAGGGGAAGGGGAGGAGGGAGAGGAGGAGGACGAGAGGAAGGGAACAAAGGAAGGAGAAGCTGAGGCGACGAATGAAGAGGAGGAGGATAGAGATGCAGGGGCGAGAAGAGGAGCAAGTGAGAAGGGACGAGGTAGAAGAAGGGGGGAAGAGGTGCGGAAGGAACGGGCGGAGCATACAGGGGTGGGAGGGGAGGGCAAGAAGGTGGGGAAGAGAAGAGGAAGGGGGACACGTGTGCATGCGAGCTGGGAGGAGGAGGAGGAAGATGGGATGGGAGTTGGGGAGCATCACGAGCCTGCTGCTGCTGACGTGGCTGCTGATGCTGACGTGGATTTCACCGATGCTGATCTGTTGCAGCTTGCAGGACTGGTGGGGCTTCTTATGGCTGCCGCTTTGCCCCCATACCCACTCCTCCTTCCCTTCTCTCCCCCCCCCCTCCCCCCCACCCCGTCCCTCCCCCTCCCCTTCTCTCTTTGGTCCCTGCCCCTTCCTCTCTCTTGCCTATCCCTCTCCACTCCCTCCCTCTCTTCCTCTTCTCCCTTGGCTTTGACCTTTCCTCTCATGATACACTCCTCCATTCCCTCCTTTACTCCTCCATTCCCTCCTTTACTCCTCCATTCCCTCCTTTACTCCTCCATTCCCTCCTTTACTCCTCCATTCCCTCCTTTACTATGCGTGAGGAGTCTATTTTTGAGGCGCCTCAAAAATAGACTCCTCCATTCCCTCCTTTACTCGTTTCCCCCACTGCAGCACGCCAAGCCCCAGAGGCCCCTTGAAGCAGCAGGCGAACCTCGAGCAGCAGCAGCGCAGCCCTCTGCAGCACTGGCTATGGCAGCAGCTGCCACTGAATCAACAGAGGCACCAGCATCAGCAGCAGCACCAGCAGCACCAGCAGCAGCAGCAGCACCAGCAGCAGCAGCAGCAGCAGCAGCAGGACTCCAGGAAGCGACACCCCCACTAGTGCGTGAGCTACGCCCGTTCCAGTCCCTGCGTGAGGCACGTTCAGTCCAGCCCATGCTTCAGACGCAAGACCCTCTGGAAGCCAGTCAGCAAGACATGAAGCAGAGCCAGCAGCAGCCCACCCAGCAGCCCACCCAGCACGACAACATCTTTTCGGGCAGGCGGTGGCAGGCAGTGGTGGAAGAACCAGCGCCAATCAGCAGCAGCAGCAGCCAGGAGCCGGTGGGGATCAACGACTTCTTTGCCAGCCTGACAGCCAGCATGAAGAGCCGGAAACGGCTTGGTGACCGTGCTAAGCCCTAGGATGTCAAGGGCAAAAGGCTTGTGCTTATCTCCCAGCAGCCAGGCTCTGGTGGGAATCAACGACTTCTTTGCCAGCCTCACAGCCTCACTTCTTTGCAGAGCCTTAAAGGGGTTGGTGGGGACCATGGGGTCAGGGCCCAAAATATCCGGGTAAAATGCCCTGATTACTCTGATTTTCAGGGTATTTTTTCGAGTTAGGCTGATTTTTCAGGGTTTGCGATTTTACAACCCTGATTAAAAAAGTGTAGCAAATGTTTTACCCTTCGAAAACCAGGGTTTGCGACCTTCCAGCCCTAATGAAACAGGGCAGCAAGGCAACTACCCTTAATGCGCTGTCTGGCCAGCCAAAATCAGCGCCAGATGCGTACTGTGGGCGTTAACTGGCCCTTAGCCGAAATCAGGGCTCGATGCGTGCTGGGGGCTGTGTGAGGGCGCTAACTGACTCTTAGCCAAAATCAGCGCTCGATGTGTGCTGGGGTGGGGACTGTGTGAGGGAGGGTGCTGATTGTGTCAAACATGTATATATACTATGTTTGCATAGACTGAATAGAGTCATGTCTTATATAGGGTACAACTCTTTGGTATATTCACATGTTCTCTCTCTTTTAATTCATTCTTCTACTCTGATATGGTATCATGCGTAGGTTTCAACCCCTCCCCCCCCCCCCCCCCCCCCCACTTATCGCTTCCGCTCCTACCCTCGCTAGGCCCCGCCGCGCCCCTCCTGGGCCCTTCGTCTCTCGTAGCCCAGTCGCGCCTCCCTGGGCCCTACCGTGCCTCCTAGCTCAGACGCGCCCCTTCTGGGCCCAGTCGCTCCTCCTAGCCCAGCCGCGCCCCTCCTGGGCCCCGTCGCCCCTCCTCGCCCAGCCACGCCCCTCCTGGGCCCTATCGCGCCTCAGAGCCCAGTCGCGCCCCTCCTGGGCCCCGTCGCGCCTCCTAGCCCCGTCGCGCCCCTCCTGGGCCCTAGCGTGCCTCCTACTCCAGTCGCGCCCCTCCTGGGCCCCTAAAGCGCCTCCTAGTGTTCAAATTATATTTTATATAATTGTTAGGCTTGGTAGGTTACCGAACCTTACTGTAGAGGGTACAAACCCCTCCTTGTACTCTCTCTCTTCCTAATCTATTTCTCTTTTCTCTCGACACTCTCGCCTACTCTCCTAGCTAAACCCTTGGCCGCCATTTCATGGCGGCCTCCTCTTTTCTTCCTAGTTCAGATTTCAACATGGTATCGAGAGCGAGATGCTCTTCCTGGGCCTGCTCCCCTCCGTGCTTTCCGCTGCGTTCTCGTGCGTTCGTCGCTCCTGCCGTGCCCCCGTGGCGGCCATGTCGCATGGCTGCCACGTCGAGCAGCCGTGCTGGGCTTGCCGCCCTGACGTGGCGGCTCCGCCGTTCTACCTCCCCGTCGCGCCCCTCCTGGGCCCTGCCGTGCCTCCTAGCCCAGTCGCGCCCCTCCTGGGCCCCATCCCGCCTCCTCTTCCCGCCAGTAAGCGCCGCGCCTATGGCGCCGTGCTGAAGTCCTGCAGCCCCACCACAGCAGCCCCACCACCTCTCCCTCCCCTGCATCTCCTCCTGCTCCTGCCGTAGCTGCTGTCTTCGGCTCAGTCGTCGCCAGCCCGTGCCACACCGCCGAGAGCCCTCAGCCGCCGCAGTCGCCGCCTGTCCTCATCGACACAGCCGCCTTGAGCACGAGCTCCGCCGCTGTAGTCATTGAGGCCGCCCAGATGCGGCCAGCTGCCTCTCGACCGGAGGTGTCATAGCCTAGCACGAGGGGTCGATACCCGGCTGCTCACGAGAATGAGGGCGTCCGGGGTTAGGGGGTGTGTGTGTGGGTTGTGTGGGCTGGCCACTACCAAGCCTAGGGGGTGTGTTCAAATTATATTTTATATAATTGTTAGGCTTGGTAGGTTACCGAACCTTACTGTAGAGGGTACAAACCCCTCCTTGTACTCTCTCTCTTCCTAATCTATTTCTCTTTTCTCTCGACACTCTCGCCTACTCTCCTAGCTAAACCCTTGGCCGCCATTTCATGGAGGCCTCCTCTTTTCTTCCTAGTTCAGATTTCAACACCTAGCCCAGTCGCGCCCCTCCTGGGCCCCTAGCGCGCCTCCTAGCCCAGTCGCGCCCCTCCTGGGCCCCTAGCGCGCCTCCTCGCCCGTTCGCGCCCCTCCTGGGCCCCGTCGCGCCTCCTAGCCCAGACGCCCCTTCCTGGGCCCTGTCGCACCTCCCTGCTCTGTCGCGCCCCTCCTGGGCCCCGTCCCTCCCTTAGCCCCGTCGCGCTCGCCCGGCCCTCGTCGCGCCTGCCCGGCCCCCGTCGCGCCTGCCCGGCCTCCGTTGCGCCTGCTCGGCCCCGTCGCACCTGCCCGGCCCCGTCGTGCTCGCCCGGCCCCGTCGCGCCTGCCCGGCCCCGTCGCGCCTGCCCGGCCCCGTCGCGCCTGCCCGGCCCCGTCGTGCTCGCCCGGCCCTGTCGCGCCCTGCCTAGCCCCGTCGCGCCCTGCCTGGCCTCGACGCGCTCTGCCGGGCCCCGTCGCGCCCTGCCCGGCCTCGCCGCGCCCTGCCCGGCCTCGTCTCGCCCTGCCCAGCCTCGTCGTCACAGCCCCGGCCCTACATCCTCCCTGGTACTGTCCCCCGTTCCCTGCACTGCTTTGCACCGCACTGCACTTCCCTGCACCGCACTGGATCGCACTGCACCGCACTGCACCGCACTGGACCGCACTGCACCGCATTGCACCGCACTGAACCGCACTGGACCGCATTGCACAGCACTGCACCGCACTGCACCCCACTGCACTGTTCTGCACCGCCCTGTCTAGTCCTTCCTTGCTCCTGATGGCGGCGGAGCTTCGCTTCGATGCTGAAGGTCAGCCACTGGAGTTCGAGGCGTGGCTTGCCGACCTCCGCCGCCACCTCACCGGCCAGCGGCAGGATGGCCACCCGCTTTCCGCACACCTTGACGGTACGCTCCCCTGCCCAGACCCCCCTGCTGTGCTGCCCGCCAACCCCACACCCGCTGAGCGCGAGTCCACTGCCGCCGCTGCCCTAGCACGCTCTGTCTGGCTTTCCCGAGACGCTGTTGCTCAGCTCGCCATTAGCAATGCCCTTCCCCCGCCTGAGCGCCCTCGCTTTAGGTCCATCACTACCGCCCAGGCCTACTTAGATGCTGTCATCAAGCGCTATTCTGCCCCCCTGCTGCCTCCGTGGGTCGCCTGATCCTCCCGATGCTCTTTCCTGACCTTGCGTCTTTCCCCACTGTCTCTGACCTAGCTGCCCACCTGCGCTCGATAGATGAGACCTGGCGCGCTCCCTGCGCTGATGCACAGCTTAGAGCCCACCAGCCGCCCATGACCTCTACCCTCTACCTGCTTGCCACCCGCCTCCCTGACCGCCTTGCCGCCGCCCGCGACCAGTTCCTTAGCATTCACCCCGCTGAGCTCACCCTCACCGACTTTGTAGACACCCTGACTGTTATCGAGACTCGCCACCGCTCCATCGCCCAGGCGAGCGGTACCGTGCCGGTCCCTATCTTTCAGGGTTGTGCCCCCGCTCAGTGTACCTTCTCCGACGGCTCTGTCGCTGTGGCTGAGACTGCTGCAGCCGCACAGTTTCGCTCGGGGAAGGGTCACCGCCCCAAGGCTGGGCGCGGCGGGGGAGGCGGGGGTGCAGGAGGGGGTGGTGGTGGAGTCGGGTCGTCTGGTGCTGGAGCGGACGAGGGGACGCTGCCCAGTCCGGCTGACCCACTGCCTCAGCAGCCGCAGCAGCAGCAGCAGTCGACGCAGCCGCAGCCTCCGCAGCAGCCCCAGCAGCCGCCGCAGACGAGGCATGCGAGTGCCCTCCCGCCCGGGTGGCCTGGAGCTGGTAGTGGTCGTGCGCGTGGTGGTGCGCCGGGTGGTGGTTCCGGAGGCGTGCGCTGTCAGTACCAGATCCAGACCGGTCCGCGCCGCGGCTTCGTTTGCGGTAAGATCGGTCATTCCACTCCTCGCTGTTTTCGTCGCCTGGACGACCTGTTCCGTAAGCGCTTTGGCCCGTCGCCCGACCTCCCGGACTAGCACAGTTTGCTTAGGCGTAGTATTCAGATTTTTGACTTGGACATGGATGCCATTGTAGCCGCCCTGCATGTGATGTATGCTGATGACTCTAGTATGCTTCCTTCTTATTACCCCGTGTTGCCTAGTATTGGTATGCCTTGCGTAGACTCCCCTGCTGCGTCAGGCGTAGGATCCCCTGCTTTGTGTAGCCTCGGTGCTTCCACCGCTTCTCCGCCGCCACGCGCCACTGCTGCACTTTCCTTCACCTTGGACTCTGGCGCTTCCCGGTGTTTCTTCCGCGACTCCACTACGCTGACGCCGCTTCCTGTTCCTGCTGCCGTTTCTCTTGCTGACCCCTCCGGTGGTCCGGTCGTAGCCCGCAGTTCCACCTCCCTTCCCTGTCCGGCGGTTCCTTCGGGTTCGCTCACAGGCCTGCATATCCCCTCGTTCTCCAGGAACCTAGTTGGTGTCGGCTGCCTCCAGGACCTTGGCGTCACCACTACGTTCCCTGGGCACGAGCGGTATGCTATCTGTACCGAGGCCGCCACTGGTGCCCCCCTTACCACGTTCCCCCGGGACCCGGTGTCAGGCATGTTCACACTTGACACCGTGACTTCCCCGGCTGGGACATCCCCCCAGGTGGCTGCGTCTACTCAGGTTGCTGCTGCCTGCTCCTGTCGGTCCCTCACTCACCCGACACTCCTTTGGCACCACCGCCTTGGTCACCCTGCGCTCCCGCGTCTGCGTCACATGTCCCAGCACGGTCTCGTCCTTGGTCTCCCCGGTTCGTTCCCCGAGTTTCCCTCCTCCCCCGCCCCACCTTGCACGCCTTGCGTCGAGGGCCGGCTTCACCGTGCCCCTCACTCCTCCTCGTTTCCCCCTACCGCCGCACCGCTGCAAACTCTACACATGGACGTCTGGCACCCCGCCCCCGTCCATGGGCCGCGTCGCGAGCGCTTCTTCCTCGTGCTTGTCGACGACTTCACGCGCTACACCACCGTCTTTCCCCTGGAGCGGAAGGTCGACGTGCCTGACGCTCTCATCCCCTGGCTTGTCTCTGCTCGTGTCCACCGCGGTCTCCCTGTCTTGCGTCTTCACTCCGACCGTGGTGGCGAGTTTGCCTCCGGTGTCCTCGGTCGCTTCTGTCGTGCGGAGGGCATCACCCAGACGTTTACCCTGCCGGACTCCCCGCAGCAGAATGGGGTCGCTGAGCGACGCATCGGTTTGGTCATGGAGGTGGCTCGCACCTCCATGATCCATGCCAGTGCACCCCATTTTCTGTGGCCGTTCGCCGTGCGCTACGCTGCTCACCAGCTTAACCTGTGGCCGCACCCCCAGCGGCCGCAGGTTTCGCCGACCCTTCTGTGGACCGGGTCCCCTGGTGCCGCGTCTGCGTTCCACGTCTGGGGCTGCCTTGCTCACGTTCGTGCCTCGGGCGCGGACAAGCTCACTGCCCGCACCCTTCCCTGCGTCTTCCTCGGTTTCCCCCTTGACGCGTCTGACTGGCACTTGGAGGGTTCGGGAGGTAGCCATCGCGCAGCTTGCA